CAAACCCACAAAAATCTGATTTCAGTAAACAAAAACCTTGTGCAAAAAACTAACTTCATTTCAGTTTCCATTCAAGTACTTTGAACTTACAAGTTGCTACACTCTAAGACTTTTGCCATAAATGGAGCCAAGTCAGCTCGTCAATGGAGCCAACTCCAAGCCCACCACTTCAAACTTGCAGCAGTACCTTCAGCACCTATCAACCCCGGCAAAGGTCCCCATGATCGGCGGTCTTCAGCCTGCACCACCGCAGTACGGCGAGAACATCACCTCCGAAGGCTACAAGGTGGTCATCGCTCTGTGCTCCTTTCAGCCGAGCCGACTGAACCAGCTGGCATTTGATAAGTACGACAAGCTGGTGAGTTCCTCGATCATTTTGTTGATTTGTGTTCAACAAACTAATCGAACCCCATCTTTCCCCTTCTTCCTTTAGATAGTCATCGACGACACCTCCGACGCTGACTGGTGTCAGGCCTATCTGGCGTCTGATCCGCTAAAGCAGTCCGGCGCTGTGCCGAGCAGTCTGCTGACGCCGTACACCTTCCAGTCAGAGCCCTGGTTCTTCGGAGATGTCAGTCGGCGGACGGTGGAGCAGCTGCTGAGCGCGCTGAGCATCAACGGCGCCTTCCTCATCCGCAACTGCGCCGCCGGCGATGGCACGCTGATACTGTCGCTCTTCAACTTCGTCTCGCCGCGCCTCAAACCTGTGATTCACTACCGAGTGCAGCGCGCTTTTGGCCGGTACTACCTCACGCCCAGTCAGTCCTTTCCCATGTTGGCCGATCTAATCGGGCACTACTCCGCGGTGGACAGTGGCCTGCCACATCGACTGACGAGAGCCTGTCCTCGAGAGCCTGCGTACACAAGTCCTCATCCTCAGTCCACAGTTAACCAAAAGGTTCAATGTCGATGCTGTGGTGCCACTAGGACCACCGCCACCGCCGCTGCTTCAGCAGCAACCTACACCAGATGACCACTGATCAATTGTGGTGGAGGTGGTGTTTGAATTAGTACTGTTTAATTAGTCAAATACAAAATAACTAAATTGATGTTGTGGAGAGAACAAAAAAGTATTCACGCCAGGCAAAGTAACAACTTTAGTACTATTTACTACTATTCGAACGATTAATTACATGTGCCCCAAATTGCTGGCCAATTCGCCCGGTTCATTAATCTGGTGGTGAGCAGGCCTAATTAGCTGCGATATCACAGAGAGAACACAGCAGCAGAAGCACCAGAGGAAATCTCTCTGTCAATCGGCGGCTGGCAGGCATCTGGCGTTTATCAAAGCACCAGAATCAGAGTTCAGTATTTGTGGTCAGTTGTTTGGTCGCAGTTGCGTCAAAGTCAGTAGTCACCGAGAAGAACGTGTAACGCCAGTTGCAACTTTTTTCTGTGCCTTTTTCTCGTTGGCCGTTGGCGTCGTTTCCGGGAGCAGGGCAGGACAGGATAGGAAGCGACACACAACAGACGCAGTTGCTGCTGCTGCTGCTGCTGCAGTATATGCACTGGCATTGTTGCACTGCTCTATTGTCTCTACCAGGCAGCAACATTAGCCTGGTAATGGTTCACACGAAGACTATACTTTTTGCAATTCCGTTTGGGTGTCTGTGGTCCCAGTAATCTTCTTCTGTGCGTCTTCTTCCACTTAAAATTACTACTTTTGTTCGCTAACTTTCCATCTTTTTGTCGACAGGCAGCTTGAAAAGCATCAACACTTTCATCTTTTCTGTGTGTTTCTATTTTTACTGTTGTTTCCCTTGAATCATCAGTTTCGATAATCTCATCACTGCTTTTGTCTCGTCCACTGAACCGCGCCTTCACAGTAAATAATCCAATCAGCAATGTCCATCAGCGGCAGCAATCAGCAACATCATTCACAACAACACCATCATCATCAGCAGCAGCAGTCCAAGTCTCATGCATCCTCATCATCTCGGAAGAGCTCATGGAAGAGCTCATTTCACTTTGGCTCGATCATGGCCAGTCAGGAGTCCGTCACCTCGTCTGCTTCCAGCTCGTCGCTCTCCTCCACTGGAGCCGCCGCCGCCGACCATGGCCACTTGGTGGTCGTGCCCAAAGACCCGAAGGTAGTGACCGCCCTCTTCAAGTACAAGGGTGCCAAAGACAGCAGCATCGGTGGTGCTTTCAGCAAACAGGCGCCGAATGAGCTCAGCTTCAAAAAGGGCGAAAAGATGATCCTCCTCGATGTCGTGGAGGAGACGGACAGCAGCAGTGGCGAACTGTCCCGACCGGGCTGGTGGCTCGCCTGCAAGCGCAGTGAAACCGACAAGTCGGGCTACATTCCGCTGAACTACGTGACGGTCGACTTGACCAGCAAAGAGTGAGCTTTCCCCTCAGTGGATTTTGTTTACTTTTTTTGTTTGACTAACACTAGACCTGTTGTTGTTTACAAACCAGCTGGTACTACGCCAACATCAATCGCCAGGAGACTGAGCGCCTTTTGATGGAGCCCTTTGTCGAACAGGGTAGTTTCCTCGTACGGAAGAGGGCCAAGGATCTGAAACCAGGTACTAGAGATGAAGCGGATTTTCAAATGACCAAATGATCAACAATTTTTCCCCCCAAACAGACTACCTGATCCTCTGTTTACGTCACCAGAACAGTGTCAAGCACTACCTGATTCAGAAGAAGGCTAAATCAGCTGATGGTGGTGGTAATAGTAGTGGTAGTAGTAGTGGCGGTGATGAGCACTACTTTATCAATCCCGAATGCACCTTCAGTCGACTGGAACACCTAATAGAGCACTACTCTGCCACGGAAACAATAGAGCTGAACTTTCAGCGACTGACCAAGCCAATGCCAAAGGAAGGTCGACGGAGTACGGCGATGTCGACCGTCGCAGAGGCGATTGAGCTGAAGGACAGCATTGACCAGCACAGCAGTGTGGCCGCCGCCTCCAGCAGCAACGGTCGCATCGCAGGCAACTGTCCTGAGGTGAAGGTAAAACGACTGGAGTTTAGCGGCGAACTGCCGCACCAGTCCACCGACCGTTGGAAACTCTTTACCGGCACGTACAAGGTCAACAGCATCAGCAGCAGCATCAACACCCTCCGACGAGGCTCGAAAAGCATTCTCAGCAGCAGCAGCAGTGGGAGTGGCAGTTTAAAGAACACTCTAAAGAAAGATTCGAAAAAGGTAACGCGGCAGGCGGTGGCTATCAAGCGACTGGAGGCTGGCTCTTCCCTATCAGCGACCTCCTTCTTCCACGAGGCAATCATGCTGAATGGGTTGCAGCACGAGAATGTTCTCTCTCTGGTGGGCGTGTGCACGGAAAAGTCCCCGCTAATAGTCACTGAGCTGCTGGACAGGGGTGACCTGCTGACGTACCTGCGAGAGCATTACCATCATGAGGAAGATCTGGAGCATGAAAACCATCGTCATCGGGAACAAAATGAGCTGAAAGAGCTGCTGTCGCTGGCGGCGCAGGTGGCCGCAGCGATGAGCTACCTCGAAGGGCAGAAGGTGATACTGCGCAATCTGATGGCTCGCAACTGTCTGGTCGGCGGCGGGCCACTGGCGGAAAGCCCCACGGTAAAGGTGGGCAACTTTTCGCAAGCTCGCCGCCTTCCCGAAAGTGGCCCCAGCGTCTACATGCAGAAAGGAGTTAAGCCAGCTGTTAAACAGAAAAGCAGTGAGCAATCCTCTTCTTCTTCCTTCTCTCAACTTCCCATCAAGTGGACCGCCCCCGAGGCCGCCCTGCAGGGCATCTTCTCCGCCCAGTCTGACGTCTGGTCCTTTGGCGTCCTCCTCTACGAGCTGCTCACCCGAGGCAGCGTCCCGCCCTACCAGGGCCTCAGCTGCGCCGACGCACTCAAACAGGTGGAACGAGCTGGCCTGCGAATGTCCCGCCCTCCACTCTGTCCCGAGCCACTGTACCAGATAATGCTGGAGTGCTGGGAGGCGAGTGCCGAGCGGCGACCGGAATTCAAGTACCTCTACTGCTATCTGGACAACTTCTACACTGGGGATGTGCAGAATGAGGCGGAGACAATTAGCGAACGGTGTGAGCAGTGTCGAGGACTGCAGAGTTCGACTACTACTACTACTACTACTACTACTACTTCTACTACAAAAGAATGATCAGGATGAAGGTGATAGAGAGGACTGTGAAAGTGCGAATGTTGGCTTGGCATTTTTTGTAATGAATCAGATTTGTATGCTGACTTCGACTTTGGTGGCTCAGTGATGGCAGAAGCCTTCTTTTTTGTGTTTGGGTTTTTGTGAGAAACACTGCTGTCTTATCTTCCCCTTTTCCTTTCAGTACTGTATTTATTAAAAATGGGGAATTCAATGTGCCCCACAACAACAACAACAATGACAGTTTCGATTTTGTCCCTGAACCTAATCAGAGCACATTTTGCGGCAGAGCATTTTGGCCACCGCACATGACAGTGAGAACGTAGCAGTTATCCAAACAGCACTGTACACTTCTCTTCCTGTAGGAAGCCTCGTTTCCTCTCTCGATTTTGGTCATTTCTGCTCCTGCTTTGAGTGTCATCTCTGTCTGTTGGTTGGTAGTCGTAGTCACTGTCTGTTGCCGCCATTCCCCGAAATATGTTGGTCACCACCATCACCGCCACCACTCTACTAGAGTGGTCTGTACAGCAGCTGTACAGCACGACACGACTTTCAGTGAGTTGCGCCCTGTCAAGTCCTGCCAAACTGGCACAGGCCGATGATTGCAGATGAAGGGAGACACACAGGCACACATCACTGACCAGTAGTCTGTACTTCCAAACTGGTTGGGCACTCATTCATCCACCCATCCAACCAACCAAGTCACTAGTCACCTGGTTACAAGTGCTAAACAGCTTTCTGTGTGCCTTTGTTCAACCATTTTCATTGAACCATAAAACCTTCTTGCTCTGGTAGCTCCAGCCGGGCACCACACCCTCTAATGCTACTTCGTTAGCGGATTTTTTTTGTAGTTGTAGCACAGAATGCTGAAGTTGAAATCGCTAGTTTCCTTCAGCAAAATGGGTTGTGTGAACAGTCGTGATCAGATCAAGCACCCGAAGAAGCCGCTGCCGTCCATTCCACCGCATCAACCCTCCATCAACAATGGCGGCGGCACCAACAACTCCTCCGCCTCACTCTCATCCTCATCAGCATTACCACAGTCACAGCCACCACCGCCACTTCCACTTCCCCTCACCACCAACATCGATTCTCAGCAGTATCCTCAACACCAGCAACTGCAACAACTTCGCAACAACTCCATCAACGATAACTACGCCAGCAATGGTTACGCAGGGCCGCCGCCGCCATTGCTCCACCAGCAGCAATCGATGCCCAGCAACAGTAGCTTTAACGGTGAACAGCACCATCATCAACAGCAACAACAGTATCAACAACAGCAGAACGGAGCAGACCAAAACACTACTATGAAGTCAAACAAAAAGAAAGGATTTCTTCCCTGGAGCAAACTGAAGGGTGATAAGGTGAACCGACAGGTTTCAGTAGTTTCAAACACTTCCGACTCGACACACTCGGCCAGTTCTCCGGCAGTACAGTCTCATATGGGAAGTCAAAGTGGAGGTAGTGGAGGTGGTACTCTTTCCTCGGGTCGCTCCAACGCTCCCCTTCCTATTCCACCGGTCAACCGAGGCAATGGTGGCCCCGGCAATTCCGGGCCCCAGCAGAAGGTGGTCATTGCGTTGTACCCGTACGAGGGCCGGGACGACGGCGAGCTGAGCTTTGAGAAGAACGAAAAACTGGTGGTCGTTGATGATTCAGAACCGGACTGGTGGCTCGCCTACCGACTGATGGCGCCTGAAAGAAGAGGTTATATTCCCATGAACTTTGTGGTGAACAATGTCATTGAGACTGAGGAGTAAGTAGAAGGGGAGAAGTGATGTTTAGTAAAACTAAAATCCCATTTTATTTCTCCAGGTGGTTCTTCTCCAAAATTTCGCGTCGCGTGGCGGAGCGACTTCTCCTCGAGGGCAACTACCCGCGCGGCACCTTTCTCATTCGCAACAGTGAACAGGACACTGGTATTATTTGCAAACTTTTGAACCATTTTTTTGTAATTTTCCTAACCAACTTCTTTTTTGTTGCAGGCGGCCACGTCCTCAGCGCCTACTCGCTCTCCATCCGCGACTTTGACAACATCAAGTTCGACCACGTGAAGCACTACAAGATCCAAACAAAGCCAAACGGCGACTTCTTCGTCACCTCTCGCCGAACCTTCGTCAAGCTGCAGGACCTGGTGGAGCACTACTCGGCGAGTGCCAACGGCCTCTGCCACCGCCTGACGAAGCCCTGTCCGAAGGTGCGCATCGGCGAGTCGCCCTTCCGCAATCGAGGCGACGAGATTGACCGCCGCCAGCTGCGCACCATTCGCGAACTGGGCTCGGGCAACTTCGGCAAGGTCTTCTACGGCCTCTACCGGGGCACCCAGGAGGTGGCCATCAAGACGCTGAAGCCCGGGTCGATGAGTCCGCAGGCGTTCCTCGACGAGGCTGCCATCATGCGGCGGTACCGACACGAGAAGCTGGTCCCCCTCTACGGCGTCTGCTCCATCGGTCTTCCGCTTCTAATCATCACTGAGTACATGTGCAAAGGCGCCCTGCTCAACTACCTGCGCGACAACCCCGAATCCGCCTCCCTCACCATCATGGACCTGATCGACATGGCCTCTCAGGTGGCCTCGGGAATGGCCTACCTGGAGCGGGTGAAGCTGGTTCATCGCGACTTGGCCGCCCGAAACTGCCTCGTCGGCGAGAAGCGCGTCGTCAAGGTGGCCGATTTTGGCCTCGCCCGTATCATCGAGGAGGACTACTACATTGCCCAGGTGGGCGCCAAGTTTCCCATCAAGTGGACGGCGCCCGAGGCGGCCAGTCGCGGCAAGTTCACCAACAAGTCGGACGTCTGGTCATTCGGCGTCCTCCTCTACGAGATCGTCACCAAAGGAGGGGCTCCCTACCCGGGCATGAGCAATCGCGAGGTAATTGAGCACGTGGAAAGGGGCTTCCGCATGCCCAAGCCGAAGAACGTCGAGTGCCCCAACTCCATCTACCAGATCATGCTCAACTGCTGGGACAAGGACCCCGACAAGCGGCCCACCTTTGAGTACCTGTACAGCTACTTTGATGACTTCTTTGTCAGCACCGAGCCGCGGTACCGAGATGCAGAGGACTACCAGGCCAATGGCGGCGCTGGCGGCGGGGAGAATCTTTACGATAAAATGGTCAAGTGAAGGAAAAGGAAAAGAACCCGGTTAGAGAGACCTATGCAATTCTATTTACTTTCATGACACTTTCCAAAAAGGATTTTCTTTAAATTTTTGTACTTCTAATTTTAATCCACTTTGTAATCTTCTTTTGTATCCATTCACAAATGCAATAAACAACATTTTCATGCCTATTTTTCTAAGCTGTCTTTTTGGTAGAAGGCGTANGGGAGAATCTTTACGATAAAATGGTCAAGTGAAGTAAAAGGAAAAGAACCCGGTTAGAGAGACCTATGCAATTCTACTTACTTTCATGACACTTTCCAAAAAGGATTTTCTTTCAATTTTTGTACTTCTAATTTTAATCCACTTTGTAATCTTCTTTTGTATCCATTCACAAATGCAATAAACAACATTTTCATGCCTATTTTTCTAAGCTGTCTTTTTGGTAGAAGGCGTAGCCTTAGAAGGCATTGCAACCGAAGAGGCGAGCATCGAGTTGTGCAGCTCCACGCCGAGCGACTTTGCCTGATGGAAGAGGCTGTTCAGCTGTTCCATCTTCTCGGCCAGCTGCTTCTGGTCGGCAGCACTGACCATTTGCGGGGGGTTCTTGGCNGCGACTTTGCCTGATGGAAGAGGCTGTTCAGCTGTTCCATCTTCTCGGCCAGCTGCTTCTGGTCGGCAGCACTGACCATTTGCGGGGGGTTCTTGGCTTCCTGGTTGTGCTGGCCGTTGTAGTTGCTACCATTTTTGGGGCTTTTAGTGGGCGAGGGTGAGGTGGGGGTATAGGCGGCAAAGGCCGTGCTGGCGGTCTCATTTCGAGATGCTAAGGACAGCGAGTGATTCATGTTTGGAAAATTTGGTTGCTGTTTTTG